GGAAGAATAGAAGAATGATAGATTCGACGCCGAATTTCAGTTGGAGCTAATCCAAAGACACGATTCAATGCTCCGAGCTTGCGCCGACAAGCAAGAGCAATGTCCTTGGCACGATCGTTCCACCTAAGATCGTGCCAAGACAACGTACAGAAGACACAACAGAGAGAGGAACACCATTGAGATACAATTGATTATAAACGTACGAAAATATGTTGAAAGAGAAAGGAAGCCAAGAACATTTAGAAGCGTGGCAAACTCTGTGGAATCTAATCCTGCAATGGCATGGTTGCATTGTCTAATCTTGCAATGGCAAACTCTGTGGAATCTAACAGGCTATATTTGAAAGATGTTCTACCATCATTGAAGAAATCATGTATATCACTATGACATGAAAAGTTTCGAAGTTGTTTCATCCATAGAAAAGCTAATAATTGATCGATCGGAATATTTAACATGATGGCTTTGTTCACTAACCATAAGTAATATTGTTCATATGTTTCTTCATTAATAGTTTTTTCAAAAAAACTCTTGTATTCACTCTCTCGATGTTGGTTATTCATTGCCTTTTGTCGAAAGGCATTGCAGATCGAAGAATCATCAAATTGATGTGGTTGATTTGGCAATGAATCCAAGTAATTATGAATTTCCTAAGATATTAAAAAAAACATCAAATAGTGGAAAGGATTATTATTTTAGATCCATTTATCTACCTTTGACAAAGGAATAAGTAAATCACCGATAATTTTATACTTTTCCATTTTTATCTTTTCTTTTTCCATTTGAGTTAATCTTCGATCAAGTAATAGACTTGGGCATACAAAATATCGCTGAAATTTTCACATAGTTTCTTCAATTGCATTTTCAATTCTCCGATATTTGATTCACTTGTGTCAGCCATTTTGCCCAGATCAGCTTGAATAATGTTATAAATGTCTTTCAAATGTTCGACATTGAATTTCGATAAATAATGTTTCAATGGATGTTTTTCGATGCTCCAACCATTCACAAGAATTAATAATTGACGTAGTTCGTTGATGATCATTGATGGATCTGTGACATTTTTCAGTAAAGTTAATTTTTCACATTCGGCTTTTATTTCGGTAGAGCAATATTCGGTCAGAGGTACCAACAACTGATGAATCAAACAAGTCAATTCGCCTAAATAAACGAAGAAAAAAAGGAGATGAGATTTTGAGAGATAAAATTGGAAACATTCACAGAACGAGAAGAATTCGACTTATAGTTTGTAAAACGGGCAAAAATATTTCTTAATACTCTCAAGATTAATTGAAAAAAATTATCAAGATCCATTGAGACAAGCGAGAAATTGTTGATGATCGATACCGGTTAAATCGATTGATTTTATTCCCTTGATTTTAGTCTAGGGTCTTACAAAATAGTTGTTTTTATTTGATCAAAATCCAAAAAGAATAACGGCACATATGGCTGCCAGATAGTTTATGGATAAGCAAATTACAAGACAGAAAAGTAGAGAACTATTTTTTACATAAGAGAGAAATATTCAAAGAGATGACTGAAACATCTACTGATGCAGAGAGATAAACAGCTAATCAAACGTTTTCTGTAGGCCGGGGACAGATGTCGCCAGATAACAGTCAACTGTGATAATACAAAAAAGTGATCCACAGATAATAAAAGTGGCAGTGTATAGATAATCTCTTATAGCGAATCGATCAGAAATACTTCCAACCTCCTTGGGATCTGCAGAGGGTGTTCAGAAAATCTTTCAGCTTTATATTACATTAGATGGTTTTTCGGTGGAATCAGATAACTTCACAGCGTTTCTCATCTATACTGGCTGCGAACGCCGACAGAAGAAGGTGTGAGTAATCATTTCTTTATTGTATCCGTTTTGACCAATATCATATACGAAACAAATTACGTCAGTTATAAATACGCGTGGGCGATTTCAGTTAGTTTAATACCGAATATTATCGATTTGAGTATATCGATCGATCATGATATGTATGATGAAAAAGAGTATATATAGAGATGACAAAGAGTATATATAGCCACTGTTTCCGTTCATTAAGAGTAAGGATGGTCCTCAACATATATCTTCGAACTTTGAATGTTGCCCTAGTTGCATAGAAATGAAAAACAACGATTACACTACCCAACACCTAATGTATAGCAAAATTTAGCAAATTTGAGAAGTATTCGCGTTGCAGACGAGCGTCATGCTCTCTAAAAAAAACAGGTTTATTACGAAACTTAAAGGGGTATAGAGAAGTGCAACCATTTCTAAACCCTCTTAGGTTTCGTAGAAGACATGGTGTAGTACGAAACGGTTTAAGTGCATAAATGCACTGATCAATCATTTCAATGTTCTCCGGGATATGGCAGCGAACATGTTGATTAACGTTGAAATGATTTTTGGACTGAAAGCATTCATTTTTGCCCGTACCATCGTGGCCACAGCTTCGAACGGCTTTTTCGATACTCCATTTATATTTTTTTAACTAGAATCTTGTTGTAAGAATCTTTGTCTTGTTTTTTCAATGGGAATAAATGCCAGATTATCACATTAAGGACACTGTTTTGGTTTCATTTACTCAGTAATAGTAACAGACGCATAAAGGAATGATGGTGATAGTAAGTAACGGATTAGAAAAAGAAATTGAAAGACCAGTTTCTGTTCCACTCATTTTAAGAAAACTAGTGCTGTCTGTACGTATAGTTACATGTTTATCGATTAAAAATGCATACAACGGCGAATGAAACACTAAAATAGAGACTATTGCCTGTTGGCTAACTCTACTGTGTATGGAATTCCGTAACGCTTTTTGGTGATTTTGTTTAATTTGCAGAAATTTTTCTAGCTGCTCAAAAAAAAGTAGCTCTCATTGTTTTCAATTTCCTAACCAAGAGATTTTCGCTAAAAGTTTTCAAAAGCAGGTCAATCGATAGAGAATTGAATTGTCTACAAAATTGCTTATTCACTTTTGAGTTTTAACTTCTTAAAAGATTTCTGCAAATTGAACAAAACCACCAAAAAACGTTACGGAATTCCAGTTAGCTGGACAGACCGATAAGTCATAAACAACATAAGTTTCAGACTTTTAGAAAAAAAACTGTTATGATCTTAAAATGGATATTTTATAGGTCTTTTGCTCGATAATAATTGTTTAGAACTACATCGTTTATATTCAATGATGGCAACGAGCGAGTTGTTTGTCCATTTGGATACAACCACGTCTTTAAATCATTTAATTGTCCTAAATATTCAATCATATAAGCGGCTGCTTTAACTAATATTTCATAAATAACAGGATTTATATTTTCAATTGTATCACATTGTTGATGGTAACATGGATCATAGACAACATTTGCCATACCACCTTCTTCATTTAATAATCGATAATACCGATCACGTTGTTCTTTTGTTTTTGTCAGATCAACACCAGCTGATAATCCTGAACAAACAATACCAGCAAATAAAAATGGACCATAATCACTACGTCCATCAAATATTTTTGAATCCCATGGCATATTTTTAGTTGTAAAATAATTAATAAATAATTGTGTTAATTTTATACTACCGACAATTGCTGATAATGGTGTTGATACATTATTAGCCGTATTTCCATCATAAATAGCAATAACAAAATTCGGTGATGCTAACATATCAAAATTAAGATTAACAAGATAATCAATAGTACGATTACCAATTTCTGTACTTGTATTGGCTCGATGAATATGTTCGGTTGAACCAACAAGACCAGATTCTTCTGCACCCCACCAACAAAATCGTACTCTGTAAGCATAAGCAGAATACACTGAAGATTGTTTTGATAAGAAATGATCTAAATTAGTAGCAATAACCAGTGTTGCCGCTGTTCCACTTCCATTATCATTTATTCCACTGCCAGCTGCCACACTATCACTATGACTACCAATAACAATTGTTTGAGTTTTATCACCTGTTTTTGTATCAGCACACACATTTGTTACAATTGTGGGCGGTAACGGTTTTACAACAATATTCATTACAATTGATGTTGTTTGAGTATTTTGTGCTAACTGGAGGCCAGCTTGATATGATAATGAAAAACAAGGAAATTTTGTATCTGTCGGTACACCAGCCATGACAGGTTTTTCTCGTTCAGAACTGATACCATCATTATAGAACAAAACACCGCGTACATTGTATTTTGATGCTAACACCGTCTTTTCTCTATAGGTACAATCACCACGCTTAACAATAGCTACTTTATCATTAGCTTGAACTTGTTCCCAATCTAAATCTGTACAACCTAAATTGGGCACATGTGTAGTCGGGTAACCAGTTGTAGGCCAGTTCAAAGTTGGACCAGAAAATTGCATATGAGTAAAATTAACATCATATATATAATCGAAACGTTGACCATTAATGTAAGAGATTAATATAGGTGTTGAATTTAAGGCAAAATTCGGTACATCGAAATATTGTTTGTGAACGTCTAAATTTGTTTTTTGTGTTAAATGATTATATATATAGTCGACTGTTTTATTGAATCCAATTGAATTTATATGACGGGTACCATTTGATTCTACAGCTATTCGTTGAAATTCATTTAAATGAATCAATATTTGATCGATTGTAATTGAATCTGATAATATTGATGGAGATGAAGAATTATTGATAATGATGTTTTGTGTTTTGTTTAGTTTGACAATGAGAAATCCTAGTATAGCTGCCACTAATGCAAGGATAACAATTAATAAAACGATCATTAAACCAAGAAATTTGGAAATATTTTTGTTAGTAGTTGTGGCGTGATGTATTGAAACATCGTCAGAAATATTTTTTGAATTATTCATTTTTGAAAAAATCTTAACGAGTTCCTAAAGTAAAAGTACATGACTTTTATGAAAAAGTACGTCTTTCTTCATTGATACTATTTATTCACATTGTTGTCTTACCTTTTATTACCATTTGCACTGATTTATTATTATAACTAAGGGGAGTCATTCATGTAGAAAATGTGAGCAAAACGATTGAGAGTACTGAGTAGTTTTATCGATCGTACTGGATGAACACTCATTGTCACTTCTCAAGTGAAAAAAGTCAAAAGTTATCATTTGAGAAAAGAATAAGATTTTCTTGTGTATTACATAGTCCAGCTTTAAGGATCCCCTTGTCAGAAAATCTGCTTCGGCAACTAGATGTCTGATATAGACTAAACTTTGAGGTTACTAAAACAGGAAGATTCGATATTACATCTGCTACAAATCTTGTGAATGTTAATATTAGTATAACGTAAATAGATTAAATAACAAATTTTATTTGTTTAGAAATCAATCTAGAAAAATATATAATTGATTCTTTGGTGGGAATTTTATGTGTATGCTAGCATCATATATTCACTTTATTCGTGTCTATGCTACTATATTCTTCTTCGTTCTAATCCTTCAATATCTAAAATGAATTTTCGTTTCTTTCTCTTCGTGTTACGGCATGTTTTAATGCAGGACATAAGGACGAGAAAAAGAAAAAGGAGAGAGAAAAGTATGCTTAAAAATAAGTTGTACGTTTTAAACCATAGTTATAGATTCAACATCTAACTATAGATGTGTTTACATTATTCTATTCACACAAATTATTTTAAAGGGCTTATATACAAATTATTATAAAGAAATTTTTTTATTGCTGATGAGCTTTATTTTTAAAATATAGCAAAACGCGTCCATCATTAATTTATCTACATTTGAACAAGTATTTTATACAAACAAGCATCTAAAGCAGAAGAGCGTCGAAGCGTCTTTGGAATAGAAAACCTTTGACAAAAAAAAGGTTGAGACCTAGATATGTTTTTGAATAAAAACCACCTGCATCTTTCATCTTCCGTTCCTCCACATATAATTGATAAATACGAATCTAGATCCAAAATCCCAATACACACGTGTCTTCACCGTTTTTATATTATATTCCGATCAGCAACCGAAATGGGTCTTAGGTGGATGACCCGAGCCCCGTTCGAAAAGCGAGTGTATCATGTTCTCGAAGAAAAGTCCGAGTAAAACATGATGCAGCTATAGCCAGAGAGGTAATAATATCAGAAACCCATTCTAAATTTTTTATGAAAGTAAAATATACTTGTTAACGTTTAATCCAGTTATAACAACAAAAGGATTCACAATGCGTACTTTTATCTCATGCTTCTCTTTAGTTTAGGAGTTTGCTCTTAGGTAACGGAAAATGGGATTAATTCGTATAATGGTCGATTAAAACTTCGCTGTTTTCCCAAATTTATCGTTCGTTTTGGCCGGTATACAAGCTGCGTAGTGTAATAACTGTCAACTGGTCCTGTTCTTAACTGAACCAGCGATAAATTTGGGAAAACAGCGAAGTTTTAGTCGATCATTATACGAATTAATCC